CCCAGGTCAGGGGCCTGTTTTCCTGGCCCTGGGCTAGCCAATTGCTCCTTAATTGTGACTCTGTGAAGCAGAGCTACCCAGGAACATTTTAGACATTTGTGAGGTGTCTTTGTCAGTGGCAATAATTGGGGCTCTTCAGGTATTTAGTGGCTGGTATGTAACAGGGTCACACAGTACAGAATGTCATGTACCACACTCAGCTGTGCAGGGCCCCGCCGGACACGCGTGCTAGTGAACGTCCTCATTAAACACCTCACGGGACTGTCTACGGAATCCCACCAAGCTGCCCTTACCTTCCAATGGGTGGCCAGAGCCCACAGCACATCTAATGCCGTGACAGCCCTATGGCAGAGGGAGGGGCCCCTCACACCGGAAACAGAGCTGCATGTGGGCACTGCACCCAGGGTGTGGTCCAGACAGTAAGAGAGGAGGGCGGCCAGATGCCAGAGGAACTCTGGGGGCCACAGAAATGACAGGAGTCCTCCTGGAGGAGGCAGGCCCGACAGTGGCCTTGGCAGCCCAAGAGGTGTCACAGTCAGGACTGTTTGGATTGCAAGTGTAAAAATAAACCAACAAAACAAAAACATCCTCAACTGGATTAAGAAAACATCAGGGGACTAGCTGACTCGAGTCATTGGCTGCAGGCATGGCTGGACCTAGGGGTTGGCATGTTATGACTCAGGCTGTGTCCCTCTCTCAGCTGTGCTTTCCTTAGCGACGGCTCCACATTCAGGTGGGCCCTCCCTTTGAGAGTCTTTTTCCTAATGTTCCTACAAATGTCCTGGGGCTGGCTGGGGTGGCGAGGGGAGTTGGTTGTTAGTCTACTTTGACAAATATGGAGTCTTTGTCCACCCCTAACTGTTCAGGGCCAGTGGATTGGCCGGGCCCAGACCACGTGTCCATCACTGGAGCCAGGGATCTAAGTCAGCCCCACGCAAACTGTTAGGGAAGGATGCTTGCCATCAAAAAAGCTGGGGCTCAGGTGCCACAAAACCAGGGAGAGTGGAGAGGGCAGCTCTCCACCACGGAAGGACTGAGCACGGAAGACCCTTTTCTGGTCACTGCCATCTCTCCTGCAGCACTGCCTGGGTGGGAGCAGGCGAGCTTTCTACAGAAGTTAGCTTGGCATTCTCCACTGAGTCAGTCTCCATAGGTCAGACCTGGGGAGTCTGCCCCGAGCACATGCGTGTGGCTTGTCATACCTCACATGGCCTGCACCACAGGGCATGCTCTGACCAGCAAGAGGTGGCAGCACCGTGGGGGCATTGCAGAGCGGAAAGCTGCGGGAAAATGCCCCCCACCTCTGGCCCAGGAGGAGACCTGGACGGGAAGGCCTGTCCCTTCAGTCCCCGAAGGCAGGCAGACAAAAGGACAAGGGCCTCGTCTGGCTCTAGTAATTGCTTGTTCCATTTGGCGCCTGCAGGGCTGGGCCCGTCCTAGCACCCCCCACAGTCCTCCAGGGCACGTTGGCCGGGCCCCTCCTGCCCTCCAAGGCTG